GTTTGCCCTTCCACAATTAATAGCGGCCTACTGATCCTTCCAGCATCTGTATATATTCTGATTTCCCGATCTCTGATATCTCTTGTCAATGATACTTCTGATACAATAATGTCCATCTGTCTTCTTAATTTTCGCAAAGTAGCCATTAATTGATCTGGATCCCTATGAATACCAACCCAACAACCGTTTACAAATATTTTTGTCGCATCTGCAATTGCACTTGGTGCAATTTCTTCTAAATTTTCCATAGACCATTCCTCCAAGAATTCAAGAACCGGTGAAGGCTGCGATCCGACACTAATGTATGCCATTAGTGCTAAATTTTTTACTAGACCAACAGCAGCACCCTCAGGTGTCTCTGCAGGACATAACATGCCCCATAATGTGTTGTGTAACTGCCTAGGCTTGGCCAGTTTTCCGTCTCTTCCAATTGGAGAATTGACTCTCCTCAAATGTGATAGAGTTGACGCAAATGTTAACCTATTTAATACTTGTGATACTCCAGCTCTAGCTTGATGAGCTTTCTTTTGATCTCCCCAATTTCCCGTGGCAAGTGAATATCTCAAGCCATCAGTAATGATTTTGGTTTTTATAGCAAGTTCAAGGTTAAAATCTTTCCCTCTATCTATGAACTTTTGTGCATATAATCGTACTTCCTTCATTAAATTTTTAAACAGCCCTCTGAATAAGAATGCCAGTAATGGTCCAGCTAAATCTAGTCTTTTATTGCCATAGTGATCTCGGTCGTCCAATTCTCTTCGGCCCAAAGAGGCTGACAGTAAACGATGTACCATGTAACCAAGAAAGTAAGCTTTTTTGGTCTCACAAAAGTCACTTATACCTACATGTGGGAGCATTTCCTTTTGTAAAATTTCTCTAGCATATTTAATACGTTTTTCTTTAGTTACTCCAGGTCTTGCACCTCTAGTACCTATAAAATTTAGGGCCACATTTTGTTCTTGTATTACGAATGCTTCATCTAAGGAAGGTTTTACCATTTCCATCATTTCAGGATCATCAAAATCATATATGATATGTTCTAAAATATCTCGATCCGCCACAAACCCAAGAGCGCGAAATACAATCATAATAGGAATTTCCTGTTTAATGTATGGAATAATTGCAATAATACGTTGGCCTATAGCAGATTTTTTAATACTAGCTCCACTTTTTGCCATCATGTTAATCCATAATGTAGACGTAGGTCGTGAACTATGTTCCAAACAAGAACGGATTTCTGACTTATATGCGTATTTGCCATCTTTCATACTGAAAACATAAACTGTATTTGTTGCCATTTTTTCTTGTGCAATAAGTACTTTCTCTGATCCATTAATAATAAAGTAGCCTCCTGGGTCTAATGGACATTCATTCAACTCTGTTAAATCACGATCAGATAAGCCAGCAAGTAAACAATATTTTGATCTTAACATGATTGGAATTTTTCCTATAAACGTCTTTTGGTGTTGTGTTTCAATGGGGTTGTCTCCGTCTTTTATAATTGTTTTAGTTATATCTACATACAATGGTGCTGAATATGTCAAATTTCGTAGTCTTGCTTCATTAGGCATCATAGGAGATGGAGTTCCATCTTTTTCCCAATGTGTAGGTTTAGATAAGTAAACTTGTTCAAATTTCAATAAATGTCTAATTGGATTTTCTATTTCACCAGAAGTATGTTGTGCTTCAGCTTGTAAATCAATTTGAGGTGAGTCCTCAACGATTCTTTGTACTGACATTTCAATAAACTCATCAAAACTATCAAGTTGTTGTCTCACAAGACCTTTTTCATCAAAATAAGCATTAATAACAATCCAACAGGCTTCCTGCCAAAGTTTTGATGATAT